CCCCCCCCGCCCCGGTGCCAATCTTAGTTTACGATTGCGGTATGATTTCGCTTGACTGCATTCGCGACCTCCTCCGCCGCTTCCGCTTCCGCTTTTTGTCGTTTCGACTTCCGAGTACTGATGAGACGAGTAGGTGCCTTCACAGGATATACGCGAACGCAGAGAGGGCCGCGAAATCGTCGGAGAAACGGGCGCCGGTTGACAGTGTAGAGACAGAGAGAGAGAGAGAGAGAGAGAAAGAGAGAGTAGTCGGTAGCCATGGGAAGGAGCCCAGGAGGGCGCATACTTTTGCGCCGCGACAGCCGTGTGTCATTTCAGCGAGACGCCATGTGGCATTTCAATGCATTATTTCAGCCGGCAAAATGCCTGCTGATATGCAAAACCAGATCTCGGTTCGAGCTGCTCTTTCGCCGCGTCTCTCCCACTTTCGTCGTCTCTCTTTCCTTCTTTCTTCACCCTTTCCCGCCGCGGCCACTGTCCGGTCGTCTCGTTTCGCCATCTCCTCCCGCTCCACCTCCTTCACTTCTCTCTTCTCCCGCTTCTGTTTTTGGTATCCTCTTCTCTCGATCGGTAGCCACGAACCCGGCTTTCGTGTCGCCTTGTTGCCGTTGCTCTTGCGGCGATGGTCTCGTTCCTCTTACCTTTTGAAAGCCGCGCCGTCGTTCTGCGGCACCTCTCGGCAAGAGGACAAGAGGGTGTGCGGAACACTTTTTCCCTCTTTTGCTCCCTGGAGACCACCCGGTAGAGACAATACACAGGTCAAACGAGGACGAATCGTTCGCGTTTAAACAATTCGATAATGCAAAAAAAAAAAATTATAGCAAAACGTACGAAACACTTTTGCGAAATTAATCATTTAATATATATTTATCAACGTTTCTTTCATCCACGTGTGCTTCATTTATTTACCAATTGAACGATAGTATCGTGAAATCAGAAAATACTTGCATTCCTTGAATCATCCTCAGATGAAACGTTCCTTGCAACTGTCGTTCTGTTCAGATGCGATAGAGCTTCGTACTGCATACTTCGAGTTGCAGCAGTCGGCAGATACCAGGGCGGAAGATAACTGTGGAGTATTCGCGTTAGCTTCGCGCAATCGTAAATAAGCGTATCGAACTCGTGCACTACCGACGTCCGATCATTATCCCACGCTTATTAAGAATTATTGCGAACCTTACGTTGTATCGCGAAGGCATGCTGGGAACTTCTCTCGCTTGCTCTCGACTTGCATTTGCGTAACAGTATTGTTTTAAGATACGATATATATTGTGAGACTAAATCAGAACACACACACACACATACTCTCTCTCTCTCTCTCTCTCTCTCTCTCTCTCTCTCTCTCTCTCTCTCTCTCTCTCTCTCTAGCGATTTTTCTAATAATCTTTAATAATTTCTGATTAGCGTAGAAACGTTCCAAAATATCCACTTAAATATTTCATAAAAAATAATATATACATTTAAAAATAATAAATAATTATCATTTCTATCTTGGATTTCCATCATTTATTAATATCTATCATTTAGTAATAAATAAGTCTACTAATTCAATGTATTTTACCAATATCAAATTAAAATTCTAAAAAGAAGTAAATTTTAATTAAAATATCTTTTCTTTATTAAATTAATGTCTTTATTTCTCAATCTCATGGTCTCGATAATAAGGCAACTAATCTATAACTAATGTCCGTTTCTTCCTGTTCGATACAGCCCACTGGACCGTGAACGCCAGAGCAACTACACCTTCTTCGTGGTTGCCACGGACAGCGGCATGTACGACGCGCTAAGCAAGTCGATACCCGTCGAGATCAACATCAGCGACGTAAACGACAACGCGCCAGTTTTCGAGGAGTACCCCTTTCGGGCACGCGTGCCCATCAGCACGAAGCCGGGTCAGAACATTCTCCGGGTGACGGCCAAAGACGCCGACGACGGTGTGAACGGTGATATCGTGTACTCATTTATAAACGAGCAGGAGAAACCGAAATTTCGGATACACCCCAGCACCGGCGAAGTAACGGCAAGCCTGTCGTTGTCGCAAGATAACGGCAAGACGTACTACCTGGAGGTATTGGCCCAGGACAAGGGTAACCCACCGAGGAGCGCCAAGGGTTTGATCGAGCTCCAGATCGGTCACCTCGCGGACCTGCCTAGCTTGAAGTTTCAAAATGACACGTACAACGTCGTCGTTCAAGAAAATTCAGCGGCTGGCACGGAGATCGTCAAGATCACCGCGGTGCGTACCGACGGCAGGAAGCAGCGCGTCACCTATTCGATCGCGTCGGGAAACGATCACAACACCTTTGCCATCGACGAGGACACCGGTCTGTTGCGCGTCAACGATCCCACCAGGTTGGACGCGGAGCTTTGGAACGACTTGACGGTGAGACCCGGTGACGAGCTGCCGGACGATACGGCGCGCACCAATTCGTGGGGTAGATCCTTGGAAGGCCAGTCGAAGGAGGAGCCCAGAGAAAGCTCGAGGCACATTCTCAACGTGATAGCGAGGAGCCAAGAGGTTCTAGAGGCGTACGTCAAAGTGATCATCAGGATATCCGACGTCAATGATAATCCACCAATCTTCACGCAAACGCAGTACTCGGCTACCGTACTTGAGGGCAATACTAAAGGAGATTTTGTCGTGAAGGTGAGAGAACCTTTTATTGATCTAAATAAAGTTTCCGCCTTTATATTTGGTGCATTACACGACGCATAATAAAACTAAGCATTAAAATATAAAGCATACGTGATATGAAAATCTATTAAGGAATTATTTTTACGAAAAGAAAACTGAAAAAGTATGAAATACGACATACACACACACAATTAGAATCATCCAAAGTTGTAAAGATTTATTTTGTACTTTTTCTTATGTTATTAAAGTCTAGATATAAAAATAGATAATCTAAATATATATATATATATATATGTGCGTTACACACAAATTTATACTCGTCAATGTTTGCTGCTGCAGCTTTCAGCAAGTGATGCAGATCAAGGGCTGAACAGCAGAATCTTGTATCATATTGTGGACGGTAATCCGGATAATGCCTTCACCATAAGCCCGCCGTACAGCGGAGTCGTACGAACCAATATAGTCCTAGATCGTGAGATCCGTGAGAAGTATAGATTGACTATCATCGCGACTGACCAAGGAAACCCGCAATTAACCGGCACGGCCGCATTAAGCGTGCGAGTAATTGACGTCAATGACAATCAGCCTACCTTCCCGGAACACAGTATCATTTCAGTCCCCGAGGGTAAGTCATATAAGAACCATTACTACTATTAAACCTTAAAAGAATTTTTAAGCTTTACGAAATAGTAGAATAATAGATGTGCAAACGATTTCCTTATACATCGTTATGAAAATTGGCCATGTCAAGATTAATCTATTCTCAGATAAACACATTGTCATATAAATAGTCTGCGTTACGCTTTAGTATTTAAAACGATTCTAGGGCTTGTCGCGTCATCAGTTTGCCCGTTAAGTATCCGATCTTTACATTTCTCAAATTGCGGCACCATTTCCTCGAGACTTTTGTCACCGTCTACGATCATAACCGGCGCCGGTAAAGAAAACAGAGTCTGTCTGTAGAGCCAGTCGTCGTGGATTTCGTGAATTTGCCTCAGATACTCCAACGGCACGGAGTCCTCTTCTTTGCGCGCACGTGCTTGCATCCTTTGAAACACGATTTCAGGCGTTGTCCTCAGATATACTTAAATCGCACAAAAATGTGTACACTTTAATAATGAACGGAGAAATTCGCGTTTTGTACGAAAAATCTTTTTGCTTAATTGATAGAGGTATATATACCTATTAAATCTGCCCTTATATTCGTGTTTTCCATACACCAATCGTACCAATTTTCTAGAACAATCGCTTCCACATCCTGTATTATGTGCGTACGCTTCATGTTTTCTAGGAAGCATCTTGCGCTAAATATGGATCTTTCCATAACTTTGTAGGGCGACGGTGTAGCCATAGTATGTAACTGCAGCCTGGTTAATTGAACGTACGATTGAAACAGGAAGGCGTAATTCACCGGGTCCTTGTAGAAAAGATTCTGAAAGTATATCAGTGCTTTAGCATGAACGAATATCAGAAAATATTTATCCAGATAAATATACTGTTTGAATCTATGTAGCGAGTCCTCTATACATGATTTTTTAAGCTCACGAATTCGTTATTCCTGAAAACACTTACTAACAAATTTACTCCAGCAACATTTCGCCACAAGTCCATCGGCTCTTGCAAAATTGTAGCATTGTTAAAGCTCTGGAAGTGATTCAGGAACGTTGTTTTACCACTGCCGATGTTTCCCTCTATGCAGATCGTAAACGGATTGTTGTAGAGTTTCCTCGTCGCGAGCATTTCCATGATGCCGACGCAGCTGCTTCTTACTGAAACAACACATCGTTTCTAATGTGAGCTAATTGCGCGAGACGACTGATTTCAATTTTATATTGTCATAAAGCGACGGTCGACGAAACCGACCGGCAAAGTAATTCTTCCCAAGACTCGCCAATCAATTAGACAATCCACGTACTAAATCGGCTTTCATACCGGCCGTCGTCGCGGCTTATTGCGTTTTACGAGACACAAAGTGTCCGAATATCATAAATAGTACCAATGGCAATTATCTCGATGCTAAAAGCCTGGCTTTACTGCTTTATCTTATTGATTTATGTAGGCAATGCGCGAGTAAGTCCTTTGAGGTTATCGGCGGGGTACCTTTATGTCGCTTCTTATATCCTTCGTTATATTCTTCATGTGACACTAAAACTCTGCGAGAAACACGCGTCGTGGCCACGTAGGATGCTCGACGATGACGGACTGCGATGTCCGCGACGCACGATAGACGCCGACCGAGAGGCATGTTTCCCGCCGAAACTGCTCGCCGCCATGTTCGTACGTCACACACACACATACACACAAAGTGGGGAACGTGCTCGCCATCTGTTCCTTAGGCGCGATCAGCTGGGCGGCCTGGGCGTTGCGCTGTGAGACTATGGTGAAAGAATATATGCGTAAAATGTACAAGAGAAAAATGTCGCAAATGCTAAATCATGAATAATTTAGTCGAATTTTGTTTACGAGGCAGAAGGTAACAAACTTGGCTACATTAACAATATATTGACTAAAGGTACATTTAACTTTATATGCTGAGAAATATTAAGAATGGCCACTTTTTAATAAATTTAAGTTAATTTTCGTGATTGTTAAATAGTATGTAGACTTGAGAATAACTAGAGAATACAAATATTACTGATTTTTAAAAGATAAATGATTTGAATGATATTAGCCAATAGTGAAATATTAATTTAATATTAATATGAAATGAAATATTAATTTATTACTGAAATTATAATTAATTATAATATTATATTATAATATTACTGAAATTACTGAAATTATAATATTATTGAAATTAATATTACTGAAATTATAATTTATTAATGAAATATTAATTTATTACTCAGATGCTTCTCTCGCAGTTACTAGAATTATATAACACTACTGCGCCGCGTTTCTATACGTTACATAATGTTGCATAATCCTGCAAAAATATATTTCTATTTCTTTTATCAACGGATGTTAAGAATGCAATTGAAGTACATACACAATATTACTGTGCGCTGTTGTGCATAAATATCTACAAAATATTTATGCATAACAATAGTTAATATACAAAATTGTAATTAATATCGTATTTTATATATCGGCAAATCGTTCATCGCGTAGGATCGATTTTCTTATCTTTATCAGTATATCAACGATAAAGTTACAAAATGAAGTTATCATTCTGTCGAATCTAATCATCTAATCTTTTTCTGCCTATCGGATTTCGCTATATTGCATCACGAGTAACGAGGTGATTTCTGAGGACACTCGGCGATATCAAGTGTCAAGTAGTATCCATTCGCGAGCCAGGCACTCTGACGCCACAATCGCGAACTGTTATTCTCGCTTTACGGTAACGCGAATTGCTCGTCACCCCATAACTCTATCTGCGATCAAAGGCGGTCACGTTGCGTTGGAATGGAAAAGGGGGAGAGGAGGGCTCGTTAGGATAACCCGGTGACAGTACGGCAGTAGCATCGCGATATCTACGATGATCCTGTCGGCAAATACTCGGCTCGGGTTTCACTCGCAATGACGATAGCTCGAGTTTCGTCTTGGTCGTTGGCTCGCGAATGTCTATCCCTCCTTCGAAATTCAACGGGTTTTATGACGGGTTCGCTTTTCTCAAGGTCGCCCACGTGCGACGAGAGGAAGAGATGTAGAGCGGAGGCTGCATGCCGACGTGCGTCGCGGGGGAAAAAAATAAAATTAAATGAATAATTTAAGTATTCATTTTACTGCATTGTAGTATTAATACTATAGAGTATAAAATATCTCTTCTCAAATTAGCGATAGCGTGACTGTGAATATCAATCGCTGCTAAGAATTAACATAAAATAATAAAATAGCCTAGTTATCTAAAATTATTTTAAAATAAATGCGAGTTGTATTTAAGAAACGAGGCCTGTGGTCCTGTATATAGACGCAGTCTAGATCGGCACTTTCGGCGCAAAAAACTTGACGTAATTTATATTCGAAGTTAGATTATAGTTTGAACAAAAAGAATTCGATATCTAGAATAAAGAGGAGACGCGTCGACGAAGCGCGTAAGGGACGAAAGAAGGTAGAAGAGAGGAGTCCAATCGCGCCGAGAGAGGACGGGAACGCATTCTACTCTCCACGTATAAAGTTAAGTGGCAAAGGATTTATGCCGACATTAAAGTCCAACTGTTCGGAACAATCTGCATAACTTAGACGAGGCTGCCGAGGCGCGCGTTCGGTGGCTCGGCTCCTCGCCCTCCTCGTCCTCTCTGCTTCTCTCTTCTGTTCGCGGACTCTGGGCCCACGCGGGTCCTCTTCCTCCTCGGCCTTTCTCGCCACCATATTGTTCCCCATTGACAGATACGATTCAATGGAACGGCACGGGACCGTGGTGGCCGCGCGAGTTTGACGTACAAGCGCCAACCTCGCGCGCTACCACTTCTCGAGGCGCAAGAAAAAGAAGGCCCCGTCGTCCCTTTTCGATCGCCATCAGACAGGGCAGCTAGTCAGCGAAGATGACGCGACGAAAGGAGGGACGAGGTGATTCGAGTAAGTTCAACCGCATCGTCGGACAAACGAAGGGCTGCGGGTTTCGATGATACCTCGAGCCGGCGCGCCGCGTTTTCTTCTCGCGGACTTCTCCGTTTCTTCCTGCATGCCGGGTGGAATTCCCAATAGCGAGCAGGTGGCGAGTCACGCACGTTCTAGCAATCATTCCAAGACGACAGGAGATATAATAGGAGATTCCTTCAGCCTTTTATTGCGCTCGCGTTTTTTGTCTTCGTCCTTTTCTTCGCTTTCTGCTGCTGTTGCTGCGTCGCTCTTTCTTCTTCTTCTTGTTCTTCCGGAGAATGCTCGACACAAGGGTAGTGGGCACGTACTCGCTTGCGCCAGTGGCGTAATGCGAGATTACTATCTAATTTGTATCGCCGTAAAACTCTTCGGAGTGTCTCGGAGTGTAAACGAGATTATCACCGCGTTAACGCGCCGCGCCGGACGAAATTTATTTAACGCTGCACCCTACTCCACAGAAGCCCCACAACACGGTTTGTTTTGTGTCGCAGTCGCGGCAGTGCTACGTCGTGGAAGTGTCACTCTTCGCCCATAGAGGATTCGATTAAATCGATCGTTTACGATCCCCCTGGACGCGCATCGACGCTTTCAATATCCTGTCGATCGTTGAGGCGAAATATCTTCTCGTCTTCACCCAGCTTATACACTTCACCGCATTCAAAGTAAATTTGATAGAAATATGAATTATGTGGTTGTAACGTGAAACGTGACAGGATAACGAGCTTGCTCTAACGTCTCCTAACAGTGTAGCCTTCTCATCGCAGTTTTTTTTTTACGGTATTGCAGCCTGGCATTCCCCTACGTATAAGATTTATGCCTATAAATCGCTAATTGATGACACAACTTGACACGAAGTGGCTAAGAAGAAAAAGAAGAAGGGTCCGTGTTCTCGACGTGAGTCAGTTCTCTCTCGCGTTTTTCCGCACGACAGCGATGTCGATTAATACTTAATCCGCGTGAGTTTCGCACGGTCGGGTTTTAACGCGGCCCGCTCGAGAGCCCTACGGTAAACGTTTGTAATTACCCACGGTAGAATAAAAGGATGTAATTATCGAAAGCGGGAGGCGCGGCTGGCCGATGTTGGATGGGTCTTACCTCCGCTCCCGTAGGGCCCTTCTGCGGGCCCGTACGCGCATTCGTGGGAGGATTTAATCGACAGCGTCGATCGAACCGGCTCCGAAAATGGCATTGACGCGGGAGAAATCGAGACAATGGTAGACCACCGCGACGAGCGTATTTTCCATACAAGGAGCAGCATCGCCGCTGCGCGTTCGTTTGCCGATCTGATTCGTGAAATGCAAGGAATACGTCAGGTGATTGCAGTTACTTTGGCAAAGTTACGCAACTAATCTGATGCTCAAGATAGACCGCAATAAAGTTATATTGTACTCGCGCGTTCTTGTTTTTTAAATTTTGACACGAACGCGAGGACATTTATATAACAAGAATTTCATCCGCGCGACCGTAATCGCGTATCCCGCGATCTCTCCAGCTTCCGATTCCAGCCGCGTCCGGGATGGCAAAAGGGTTTCCGAGCGGTAACAAAGTCATGTCGCGGCCCGTGTTCGCCCGTAGACGAACTACACGGAATCGCTCTGGAAACCGATTTACACGACTTTAACGATCTCTCGTGAAATTTACGAGCGGTCGCAGCCGCGTGCCGGCTAAGCTTCCCCCTCGCCCGTGCTCTGTCTCTTTCTCTTTCTCTCGTGCATCGTACAGAATAATTCTTTTACTGCCGCAGGTGTTGCTACGCCCGACGTATATCACCCGGCTCGGTTGTGGAATCAAAAGTCCGGTCCTTGATGATGTACCTCCTCCTCGTACTTGCATACCATATACTTGCCCTTACCGAGCCGGTGAATTGCTCGAGCCGAGCTCGTTTGAGTCGTCGAAAGTTACGTAATACACCCGTCTTTTCCTCACGCGTATAAATCATCTTTATAGATTTTTACAAGACCTCTGCGTTTCCCGTTCTTTGTATCAGCGAGGCATAAATATTTTTAGGAGTGACTGCAATAAGAGTATGGACTAACGTTGCACGTGCTCGTGAAGAATACTCGATTGCGATCGTGTGCGTCAACGATGTCTTAGAAGGAGGTGTAAATTTACATTCAAGGACAAATTGCGATCGGAGTCGTATTTGCGTCGATAAGCGCGCCTCACGTGCGACGATTGCGTTATGCGAGTCACACACGTTGCGCGCCCTTTGTGCTCGCGAAATCCCTTCCCGCGTTACGGTTTTCAATTTCCTCGCGTAACGTCCAGACAAGACGATATTGCAATTTACTTCGCGTGGCGACTGCCGCTCGATCGTCTCCTTCGCGAGAGGCTCATCCGTTTCTTCGGACGGATTCGTTTCGGGTCGTTTCTTCTTAGCAACTTGGCCAAGATAAAACGATTCGATAGTACGGATCCAATGCATTTTAAGCACCGACCCCCTTGATGTGTCTTTAACTTCGCGGAAGAGAAGCGCGCGCCCATGAGATCCGTGGGCTACACAGTTCGCGCGTCGTATATATGTATCGTGCACGATCGTTTCACGGTGACAAAGTGGCTTCGCGATGAGGGGACAAAAGAACGAAATCAAAGGCATCCTTTATGCATAAAGGATGCAATCCACCAGTAGCGACCGCGCGGTCCGCAATGCGAAGCGATAAAGCTCTTCATTCTGCTCGAGATCCCCAACAGACTTCTTTATTTTCGCCAAGCGTATTTTACTAATTCCGTCGCTATCAGATGGCAAAATAGTACTTGCGCTTACGCTCCAATTCACTTGCAGCAATGAGGTCTTTGTGAATGTGAATTTTTCTACTGACGCTGCAAATCCATTCTTCATTTATATATTGATAATTAAGAATATACATTTATTTGTTTATTTAATTACACTACTATTTAGAATCGTCGGCACAATAAACGCATATTTATTAAGTTAAGCGCTAAAAGGACGCTGTCTTCGATTTCAGGTACTGCTATGGGAACCGTGCTGACGACCATCACGGCGAACGACGTCGACAGTTCACCAGCGTTAACGTATAGATTCCGCAACGTGACGGGTTCGGAGCCCTTCAGCATCGACCGGTACGGCGGTAAGGTTGTTTTGCGGCAGCGTCTGGACGCCGAGACGCGTTCCGAGTACACTCTTCGCGTGACCGCCAGCGACGGGATTCACAAGGCGATGACCGATCTCACCATTCGTGTGACCGATCTCAACGACAACGTGCCGCGATTCGAGCAGGCTGTCTACGTGGCTATTCTTTCGGGTACGTATCGAGGGCACTTGACGATGCCTCTCCTCCTTCTGCGCGAGTAACGAGAACAAGGCAGGTAGCAGATCGTCGAATCCACGATCGAAACTCTTGACGATGATCGAACGCGATCGTCGCGTCGGTTATCGCGTGACGTACGCTCCAGCGAGCATAATTCTTTGATTTATTGAGGAACGATCGCTATCGAGATTGCGCCGGGTTGTTCCGTGAAGCGGTAGCGTGGGATGAAACCGCGAGGCGGGCGGGCCACGTCGCACCGGCGCGGCGGGTAGGTATACGAAATTCCTCGCGGACGCGTTTTGTTGCCGCGTTCTCCAACGCGCGCATCGCAAGTCTCCTGCGGTTCGCCGCGAGGATCGCGCGCATTATAAAGAATTTAAATCTGTCCGTTAACGGTCGGTTAACGAACCAGTCACACCGCGAGAGTTTCGACGAATCTCTCATTTGCAGCGCAGGTGGTCCATTCGTATTGTGTTCTGTCGTATCGCACCTTTACACGCGCGGGAAATCCACGTCGAGATTACGGGATTCATCAGTCGGGATTCATTACCGTTCGTACCGTAAAGTTGTCATTGGTCGCGCGAGTTCTGTCACCCCGCTAGACGATGCATCTTGGTGTCAGCGTCTCATCGAAAAAAATCGAAGCAGCAGTGGCACAAAGGGATGGAGGGAGGAGAGAGAGAGAGAGAGAGAGGAGAGGGAGAGAGAGGAGAGGGAGGCGACGCGGGAAGATACAGGCGGGCCCCTCGGCGCGAAATAAACGCGCGTTTAAAAACTGGTTTTTAGTAGACACGCGTTGTCCTGTTGCCCGTGTTCCAAACTCGAATTGACACCGTGCCGAGATAAAGCGCGCGAGAAAGAGCGGCACGGGGGTGAGAGGCGGAGAGGAGAGATGAGAGAGAAAGAAAGAGAAAAGGAAGATGGGTAGAGGAGGAAGACCGATGAAAAGTTAGCTGCTCGAATACGGGAGAGAAAAAGATATAAGAATGAAGGAGGGAGGGTGAGGAGAGAAGAAAGAAGAGATATATGTATAAAGAGAGGGAAAGAGAATGCGAGAGATCGGCAGGACAGGACGGAGGGCGAAAGACGAAGGGAAGCAAGGAATGGCGAGGATTCGAGCTGAGGGGGAGACGGGAGGGGGGGGGGTAGAGATGGAAGGAGAGCTGAGGTGGATTGCGAGGACTCCTCGCACATAAATAAACGCGAGGACACACCGTTTGCGAGGCAGCCGAAAAGCCGCCTTCACTGGCAACCGCCCCGGTCGGGATCGCCGGCTTCGAGAAGACTCTCGAAACTTATTAAAAATACATAGGCCTGCGCTTAATGGTGCATTTGGGTGGGCGGCGGGGAGGTAACGGCGATCGGGGAAACGGGAAGGTAGATTGGCAGGCGGTGGATATGGAAAGGGCTCGCTCTCGAGCAGGGGGGGGAGCTCCCACGGTGACGAGAACACCGAATTTGCATTCTTCTCTCTTTTTCTTAGCTTTATCCCGTCGTCTCGCATGTTCGCGAAAAGCTTTATTGCCGTTTCTCATGGGAGGGACGAGCGAGGAACGGCGAGGATGGCTGCAAAAGAGGTCGCAGACTCGATAAAGCGGAGAAGATTTCGGCGAAAGTTAATGAAGCGCCTGGTCGGTTAATGGGACTGTTATAGATGTTCGTAAGGGTGATAACATCAAGATAGATCGAAGATCAGCTTCGCCAATCTCTCCCTTGCGTTTTCTTAAAATTGTACGAATTTTAATTAAATACTCAGGAGCTCTATTAGCCCGCAGATACAATCTACCTTTCCGTACAATGTGACCCTTCGAAGTATCTGTCTCTCGTGGTAGAATTAATGAGGGAACAAGGCTAGTGGACGAGCAGTGATATCAAGATTAGTAGAACTGTATTAGCGAGGAGGAGACTAAAAAATCACCGGGCGACAAAGTGGGATTAAGAATAATAAAAGAGGGAGATGGAAGAACACTCTGCTGGAAATACGAATTTATTTCGAGCGAGATGTCGTGATGCGAGCGCGTGCATACGCGCTTCGCAATAATTATACAGTTCCTCTTGTTCTCTCTCTTTCTCTCCCTCCGCCGGATCGTACTCTTTCCTCTTCGAGATGCCCTCGCCCCTCACGAGACTGCAGCGCAAGGTCCCCGATGGGGATCATATCCTCCAGGTTTATTTCGAACCCTCTTCCACTGCACGCCACGCATCGGCCTATATCTTTCCCCTGCCTCGTGCACTTTAGGCCGCGGCTTGGCACATTAATGCCGAGTTATCCGGCGATTTGAAACGCATCGAAATGATTTTTGTATGCGCAACGCGCCATCGAGAGCCCGGATCCACGGTATACCGCGCGCGGCGCGCGATTTATATATAACTGGTTATTATTTCATACTTCCGTTCGGGCCTGATGTCAAGAAGGCTTATCCTCCTCGCTCGCCGTCCGAAAAAAGGCGTTCGTAATGTCGGCCCCGGCCGGCCGAATGGTCGAGGACGCATCCGCAACAAGAAGACACGGAGAGTATTTGAGCTCGGGCCCGCTGATCTCTCGATCTTTCTCCGGCGTCCCTGTCGAGTGGTTCCTTGTACAATGTACGACTCGATAATCGATCTCGCGGGAGAGTGCTCCTCGAGTCCCTGCCGTTCACTAATGAATCGCCGTCTCGCGTGACGTTATATGAGCTCTCTTTATAACTTTGCGTCTACAAATATCTCTTTCTCTTTACTCGCTCCAGGAATATTAAGAGAAAACACGGTACGGATTTATGTTAATGTAATTACACGCTGCGTAACGTGTCGACTTTTTTCTCATTTCAGAAGGGCAAGGCAAGCAGGAAATTCTGACGGTAAACGCCACGGACGACGACCTTTCGGAGGAGAACAGCCGAGTGCGATATTATCTGTTGCGTCCCGTGAAGGGATTTTCGGTGGATCCCGTGACCGGCGTTCTGACTGTTAATCACACGGCGATACCCAGGCCGATACTGAAGGAGATGGAACTGGCGATCGTCGCGGAGGACCATGGCAAACCCGCGGCATCGTCGGTGTGCTCGGTTGTCATACGATTCAACAGTTTGAAGAGCGCTCTACCTGGGCGGGAATACAATTTCATGGTGAAGGAAAATTTATTCAGAGGTACGACGCTGATGAAGCTTTCTGACGTGGACCTTCTGGATGGTGCCATCGTTGCGGGCGACGATAGCGGAACATTCGAGATATCCAAGGATCGGCTGATTCTCTCAAAGGTGCTTGATCGCGAGATGAGGGACAGGTAAGCGTCGATGGTTTAGATAGAAATTTAATCCTACGATTTATTACGTTAAGTCAATGTTTCTCAGCTCATTCTACTCTTGCTTTAATTTACAAAATATTTGGAAGCTCTCTAAGATCGTATTTGATTTTCTAGCTACATGCTACAATTGGGCAACAGGATCGAAAACACGACGACAGGCTTACTGATGGGAGACGAACCGATAACAGTAACAATCACCGTGGAGGATGTCAACGATAATTATCCGCATTTCCTGGAAGCGCTCTACGAGGTATCGATCAAGGAAGACGCCCCGCGGGGAACGACTATTGCCGTCCTGCACGCCAAGGACGACGACTTGACTAATACCACGGCGGCCACGCTGGTGTACGACATCACTTCAGGAAACGACGGCGGTCTCTTCCGCGTGGAGAGGACGACCGGCGCGGTCTTGGTGAACTCCACGCTTGACTGTGACCTCGAGCCCGAAATCTACAAACTCGTGGTGATGGTCTGCGACAGCGATTCGACGTTGCCTCTTTGCGCGCTCGCCAATGTTCGCGTTTTTCTGGAAGACGTGAACGACAATTCACCCAAGTTCCCGGTATCCGAGTATCTCGAGTTCGTCGGTGAGAACGAGCCGATCGGCACGACTGTCTTCTCCGCGCGTGCCTCGGATCTGGATCGCGGCATCTTCGGATCGTTGAACTATTCCATCGTTTCCGCCGCCAGCGGATTCTCCGACATCGACGACAGTTGGAAGCTGTTCGCGGTCGACGAATCGGGTACCGTCATCACTCGCGCCGTGTTCGATTATGAGCAACGGAATCGGTACGCTTTCACGTTGCGTGCCACGGACGCGGGCGGCCGTACCGCTGCGGTGCGCGTCAGGGTGGAGATTGACTCGAAGGACGAATTCTTTCCACAGTTCACCGAGAGGATGTACCGATTCAGAATAAGAAACAGTGCTCAAATGTTGCCTGGCACAGTAATCGGTCACGTGACGGCGACCGATCGCGACAAAGGACCCGATGGCCGGGTCGTATATCAGTTAACATCCCAACATCCTTATTTCAAATTGAATCGCACGACCGGCGCGTTAATCGTGAAGCAGAAATTGATGCACATCGACATGGACGAGTCGTCCAGATTGGTAGTCAGCGCGAGTTCCGGTAGACAGGGCTCTCTGTCCAACATGACGGTAGTTGAAATTACGCTGATAGATGACAGCGAGCTGAACGGAGCTAGAGGAGCTACCGCTCTGGCAACGCCGACGGACGTCGGTTCGAATATGGCCGTGGCTACCTCAGGCGGCTTGGCCGATTGGGTCCTGGGTCTGTTGATCGCTCTCCTTCTTCTCATTCTCGCGTTTGGTGCCATCTTTCTCTACCTTCACATTCGTAATCGCCGTCACAAGAAACCCGGCACGAAGCCAGGTCTGAACGGCGAGAGCAACGCTACCGCGTCAAACAGTTACGTGGACCCGAGCGCGTTTGACACGATCCCGATCAGAAGTGTGACCGGAGTCGGGGCAAGCGGAAACGGCAGTTCCGCAAGTGCCGGGGGAGCGGGCGGCGCGTCCTGCCAATTTGCGCCTCCGAAGTACGACGAAATACCTCCTTATGGAACGTCCAGTCAATCCGGACAACAGCAAGCTACCTCCGAACTTTCCGGAAGCGACCAGTCGGGTTCTTCCGGCAGAGGCTCCGCCGAGGACGACGGGGACGACGAGGAGATCAGGATGATCAATGAGGGACAACAGACCGGCGATTCCGCGAGCGACCTTTCAGTTCACAATACTCAGGAATACTTAGCTAGACTGGGCATCGTGGATCCTCCAGCCGGTACACCTAGGAGGCCTCCCGAAGCTCTGCCTCTGGACAGTTTGCATCTGTTTGAGGACGAGGCGAGCACCGAGGCAGACATAGCGACGTTGATTTACGGCAAGATCGGGGAGTCTACACGACCCACTTCTGGTCTGGAAGTCCCAGGTGGACCGTCGATGAATGGCTCCCTGAGCTCCATCGTGCACAGCGAGGAGGAGCTCACTGGCTCGTACAATTGGGACTATCTATTAGACTGGGGACCTCAGTATCAACCGCTAGCTCATGTATTCAGCGAGATTGCTAGGTTAAAGGATGATGCCGCCAGTGTTCAAAGCGGAAACTCCGGCAGCAGCGGCAAGACCAAGTCTGTACATAAAGCGCCACCGCCGCCGTTGCTCACGTCCGTCGCTCCGAGGTCATTGGCGGCGCCGGCGCTGGCGAGAGGAATTCTACCAAGGTCGCCGATCAGTCACGATGCCTCCACCTTCCCCTCCGCCGCGCTGAGTCCGAGTTTCTCTCCCTCATTGTCACCCCTGGCTACGAGAAGTCCCAGCATCAGCCCCCTCGTGCCACCCGCCACCCAGAGATCCAGTCAAAGTGCCAACCGAGGGATTCCCGTCGCTGATGCCGAGCTGAGGATCTGAGGATACTCTGGTTTTAATCCGGCGTATATACTTTGCGTAAATTCTAGTATTAATCTAGTGATGACTCGCCGGGAAAGCGACATCGGACGATGTGGTGCCTCGTGTAACGCGAATAATATTCCTGTTAATATGCGTTGTTAAATGCGATTGATTAATGGATATATATGTATATTGCTCTCTCAGACTGTGCGAACAACGTGATTCGCGGGTATGGTGTTAACGAGTGATTTTTAATTTAGTAATTTCAATTTGATCGGCCATCGGTAGAAATCGTGACCGAATCGTTCTCCCCGTCACGCGCAAGCGCTACCTTCCCGCGATTAATTGTTACTTATTAATTAATTAACAAAATATAAACTCTGTAGGTAGTTTCGATTCATCGCGAGAAGCGATACGAGTGAGACAGAAAGCGAGAAAGTGGCGATTGCGCCTTGACAACTCCGTATCTACTATATGCGGATGTTCTTCGTTTCGATCGATAGCTAACTGAAAACAAGTACTTTCTGAACGGAATGTTGTAAATATCCGCCGGCTGCAACGGCGCTTAGTCATAGTAGCATTGTAAATAATGATCTACGAGAATAACGATATTATCATAATCAAAAAGATAGACTGTCGATTTACGTAAACCGGAAACCGGATGATCGCGCCATGTTCATCGAGCCCCTCCGCGTGAATGTGTATAGTAATCTAATTTTATAATCGAATCGATTGATACCTACGACGAACATGGCGATATCATCCGAATTGAAAACACGCTGCCACGAGCGAACTGATCACACACTGGATTTCGTGGCAACGCATCTCCATATATAAAAGCGTCAATATATCACTTCGTTGATTAATTGTTATTTCGTCCCTGTCCCCCGAGCGCGATCTCGATGTAACGGGGGATGGAATCTCAGCCCGATACATATATACATACGCACTGAATATATATATAAATGTCATATTTTGTATAAATTGTTCTCTGTACAAAGACTCTTCCGAGCTGAGGGCCTTACTGTGACGTGGGCCTTAAATAAATGAATTTTTTAGGAGGTCGCGTTATTTTTCTATCATATTCCGACACTCATTTCGCTTGAATAATTACTAATTTTGATTTGTCACTTAAAATAGATTATCCAACAGGAAATCAGAAAGAGGGAAACTGACAGGGATCGCTAATGAAGAAAACCACATGTTTCCACGTATAAATCTGCTTTTTGTTATACAACACGTTGAGCCTTACAAGTATACACGTATTCTTCGGATTATTTTGATAAGTTTATTCCATGTTTCCTCCGCTCGTTTTACTCCCGTAGCTACTACATAGGATTCCATTTTCTTAATGCTTGAGCATAAAACGTGCTGAGTAACAGGAGCACCCGGTATATCACTTGAAAGAATATTTTAAGTAAAATAAAAAAAATGTTAATTAACAAAATTAACGTATTGTCATAATTAAATTAAGAAAAATAATTTATTAATTATAATTAGCAAGCTTTTCGACTTTTCATCGTAAATGGTTTCAATCTAAGTTTCTAATTTCTCTCTAATTTATTTTAGTCATCCATTTTAATGCCATTTCGATGTTTTATGGCAAAATATGAATAACCATTTACAATTTATAATCTCTAAATATTTTTATTAATGCTTGCTTTGAATATTCAAATTTAAAAGAATTTAATTTTGTATTTACTTTTTAGTTAATACATTTTTAACAATAGAAATTTATTTTCACTATAAATGCGCGCATGAAATGATATATTTATTTCGAAGAAATTAACTTCCAAAAGAATTTGAATAATGCATTGCAATTTATATGGATGAGTAAACGTAAATAATTGCTAAAAAATATTAATACTATGTACTCGAACAGTTTGTACATTTAAACAGTCTCTACGATGAAACACGTATCGACCTACCTATCTAGTGCCTAGTATTAGCGAAACCATATAGGAATCGTTTACCATCATTACGTCTAGCAAAATGGTATTATCATATTGTATATTCCAGTCTTGTTGGCGCTCGACAACGAGCTGCGCTATTTAAATATTCCGTTCTCTTTGTCATTCATAGAAGAATTAGTATGATCTTCCACGTACGATCGAAAAACACGAACTTGTTTATTCTAAGCTACGGTCTGGACAACATCATATTGGAAGGTATGTTATTTCTACGGCAGGGAGCACTAATCGAAGAAGAGTGCAACGAGATAGAATCTTGGACGTCCGTATAATTGTAATCAATAAAAATCAACGTTATTAAACGTTTCAAATGCCTTTTTGTTCCCATGTGAAAGAGAAATTTCTTTTGAAAATTTGAGATAGCTCTCTGAAACGGTATATAAAGCGTTATCTCCGATTTTAACAGAATACACGTCCAGAGGTTTCACACTTCTGTCTCGACAAGCACTCTCTCGCAAAAACACTCGTCTTTCAAAAGCAGAACACATAGGAAGGTTCTATACACCAGTTTTCCGTCAATTAATGGTCCGATAGTTAGATATGACTTTAAAATCTATTTCAAGTACTACCCGCTTGTAAGTCTTCTTTTGCTGTATCTTCAGCGTGGAGTCTTGTATCAATCTCCGCTGAATACGTATGTTGTTGCCGTATAAATTTTTTTTTTTTCAATTTTTTCCTGCCTTGATTCGGATTATGATCAGTGACGTAATCGACACGCGCGATACGCGAAGCGAGCGGTCTTTAAAATGTAGCCTAAAACTGTATCCCCAGTAATAACATTGTAGGGCAATTAAAACGTATTCTATTCGTTCTATTTTATTCTAGATATGTGTAAGTATGCACATAGCTACCTAACAGTTATCACATCAAGCTCCCTCGTCCCGCAAACATCGTAAAAAATTTCTTTATTTCCGATAGAAAGCTATATATTTTCGTCACTGATGACAGTCATGCTCATTGTCAATCCTCGGAATTCGGAGCTAGGTGTTCTAAGTCACATCGAGAAGCGTCAGGTATTGGAACTGGCATCTTACACGCGCGATACTTGTGTATGAACGTTCGCGCGACAATAAGACAGATCGAAAAAGAACAAACTGAGGCGAGACATTTTACTTTCATCGCGCCTGCCTGGTTTGGCGCATCGAAATAAGGCACCACATTCGACGCTGTTTATATGATCGATCGTAGAAACAATTCTTGACGGAGATGTCGATCGAGTCCATCATCTCCAGGATTCGCGCTAGGGGTGAGTCTTTTAATCTACGATCGTCATCTATCGTTTATTCGAATGTGAGTCGGTCAATCGGATTAACGTCTTTACTAATCCAGCCTGATCCCTGTGGAGGTCGTTGAACGACTTATGTCCCGACTTTTTTGCCTATACAACATCGATTTGCCTATACAACAACGCGTAATTATTAATTATAACGATTGACAAAATGCGTTACCCTCGAGTCTTTGGAAGCCTCGATCGTATAGTTTTCAGAATACGTATATCCGGTATATCAATTTTTATTGCTCTGTGCCTGCATCACACGTAACACGTACCCCGTTCTTATTGACTGCTTAATATCTTCGTGTCTTCAGTGGCGATCGCATTTTCCGCAAGAGCGTCTGTCTTGCCGGTGTAAAATTTCTTGCGGAAGATTCCGAAGTCCGTTACGAACTTCGAGAATTATTTAAAGCAATGAGAAGCAGAGGAACTAAACACGCGCCTTCGACGCAAAATATTCTTTTTGATCCTCGTTGAACAATTCAAACAGATGACAGAGTCGATTTATTTGCTTCTGCGACGCTAAATTATTTCGCAGGGCTGACCGTTAGTCAAACGGTCTCTTCCGTCACACTTCTCGACATGCGCAATATCCCGAAGCTGAAAGAAAAGAAGGAAATTTTGAAGAATGCTCTCGCCGTACAACTTGAGGACTTGACAGGAAAAAATGCGCACACATTGCTACTTGCTCAAGATTACTCTTAATGAGGAGGGGGGGATTTAATGCGCGCGAAATGCATATGAAATGTATGAATTTTATGCTGCATGAAGCTTAGCTGATTTTGATGATCTTAATTTTTTTTCCCGTCAAGTCCCCATTTGCTAATCCAGCAGACAAATCAGCGATTCGCGAAGCGATGCCATTAATGAATCGTCATGATTTTTTGTAATGATCGTACAAAGTGATAGCCTAGCCCTACCAACAAGCTTGTTTACTTGGCGATCCCCGTTATCCGCGCGTCGTCTTGCATCTCGACAACGACGGTGTCAGGATCAGGTACCCTGTTGGCGGTAAGACATCCATTGGCGATAGTGGTTGGTAGTACAGTCTCAGACTAAAATTAGATTATCGCGCGTTATGCAATGGTATACGCCTACGTGAAAATAAAAAGTCATTTTACATACAGGAGCAAATGAGATGAATTATCGAGTAGACATTAAACACACTTTTCTAATTTCCGCATGTAGTTTTAATTATAAAGCGATTTAATTTGTGTATTTATACTTGGTAGGCTGCTGCGTCCAATGCCATCAGTTCCTTTTTCGACAGCTGCTCGACAACTGCAGCGGCGTAACAATCTCCCAGCATATTATTGGTGGTCCTTATCCGATCCCTAATCGACATAGAATTACATCCGTACTTAACAAGTAATTTTTTAATGTTTTGTCGATTATAAAGAATTTTCAAAAAATTTATATATAGGTATATTTTTTCTGCTATAATTCTCAGAAACAAAATTTAGCGTAAAAATACACTTATGGCACTTCGTGGCATATCGTGATAGGATATTATGAGCGAAAGAATATCTTGTCTAATACTTACACAAACCAGTCAATCGCGAATAAGAGAGAAACGTCATTAACAGGAGCGTCAATGGCGCTTAGGACGACCAACAGCAGGACGAGCGCAGCGCTTGGTACCGAGGCCGATGAGACGGAAGCAGCAGTGGACGTCAAGCTTTGCAAAACGAGACGACGATAAAAGTAATGGGAAATACAGGCGAATACGTGATTGAACAAAATTTTCCGCGAGTTTGATTCGATAAAGGAGCTTGCTGCAGGAAGACGGGGGAGACACTTACATCACGGTGATAATCTCCCCGAAGCCCAGGAAGATGCCGTTCATCTGGGCGATGAATATACTGGCGACGGCGACGAAGAGCGCGGTGCCATCCATGTTGATGTTGCAGCCGATCGGCAGGACGAATCTGGTGACTCTGGGGTCGACTCTGAGCTTCTCGGTCATCAGACGAAAAGTCACAGGAAGTGCGGCAGCCCTGTACAAAACTGCGTTAGCAAAAATCGGGCAAAACACATTTCCGTTGAATAGTAGAAAGATTCGCTCCACGTCGCCTGTCACTGCCAGTCATTGTGGTCATTCTGGCGTAAACTTACGGGACAGATATGTAACGGCGGTTTGTTTACCGGATAGTTTCTCAGAGACGTAACCGAGACCAAGGCTTAAATTGAAACAGAACGGATATTATAATGGGGGAGGGGGGGTGGGGGTGGGGAGAGTCGCAGAGAATTCGATACGAACGAGGGAAGAATACTCTCGGAATTAACATCGACGCATTATTAACTGCGGATAGTAGAAAGAGTGCCAGAACAACTGCCAGAATGACCGTGACAACAACCTGAAAATCAACCGGGCTTATTAGCTTAGATGACAAATTCCGCCAGGATATCCGCCAGACCGCGTCAGCCCGCTCTTGGTTCCTACAACAGACAAATCGTACGTATCTCCATGTTGCGGCCATCAATTACTTACCAAGCGCTACCCTCAGAGTCAACCACCTGCAAAAGGCCGCGTGCAGTGCGTGTTCTAATACATCATCATGATATTCATACAGTCTCTGTTCAGTTACACTGAGAACAGTTTCTCAGTCAGTCACAGTGTACGCACAGTTGTGTACGCTCTCTTCTGGAAACAGTTAATCCACAGAGAAAACAGATTGAGTTAGATACAACTGTATAAGAACCTAGCTGGATCGTAAACAATATTGAGCACTGCTAAAAGTAATAATACCAGGTGGGAAAGGAAGGGACGGGGTAGGGGGAGGGAGGGCGTGGCAGTGATCGGGAAATGTGGGAAATAACGGAGAATAATTGGGACGGAAAATTTATTTTCGTATGTATTAGACCCATGTGTGTGTGTGCGTATGTGTGTGTGTGGACTTGAAAGAAAGAAAGGAAGGATTTCAGAGGTGCGAACTGAATTTAATTCGTAAGTGCGAACTGAAAAAATGATCGTTGCTTTGCGTGACTCTCAAAAATGAATTATTCAAGAGAAACAAATAATCGCACGTTGTTTCAGGAGTACAGCCGGTCATCGACGTCCTCGTCGTACCTGCAAGAGCGAGCTCGGCACAAGCAACCAATATTTTTTCAGTTCCGCCATAATCCATTGTTAAAAAACGACTTAAGATTAATCGTATGGTTTGGCGTGGAGGTCTCCTTCGGCTCGGCTTCTTCTTCCCCTTTCTCGCCGTCGCGAGGGAAGAGTTCGAAGATACCGATTGTGGGAATCCTTAGAAAACTTCCACGCCGCGAATCAGTCCAGGTAACACGGAGTCAGCAGATTGCCGGTTTGAGCAAGCATCGTTGCCCAGTAGTTTTCATTTTTCGCGATAACACAGCCGTATTAAAAAAGCCACCCTGTAATTTCTCATTCGTGGCATTTTTTTTTTTTTTTGCGCGCGACGACGAAATTCCGTTTGCATTACCGTAACAATTTGGCTATGAGCTTTCGGAAGTTCGTATAGCTCGGTGGGAAACCGGGGATATCAGCATTCTAAGTGCTACTCGGAACTGCATACCTCTTTCCCTCTTTTTCTCTTTCTCATGTGGCATGGCGAGCTCTCCTCGCAAGCAAACATTAAAAGAGATTGTCATATATGGAGGAAAGACCAACGGGATAATTCGGGAATTGGCCAGCTCTTCCACAACGTTTGTTTTTTTTTTTTTTGTATAGAAACTAAGCAAGAGGATTATATGAAGCAATTTTCGCGGAAAGTTGTATGTAAAGCTGGCTTAAATGATTTGGAAAGGGATATCGGGATTGTGGCCTCGCAAAGCCTCCACACAGCTGGCTGAAACATATTGTCTCCATCAATCGATTCGATCAATACACGTCTTTCATCGCCACGTATCACTCATTGTCTACTTCGTTTTAACGGCGTCAAAATGTTTTGAAATTAATTACTTGCACTATCGCGCGACAGACCAGCTCCATTTCGCGTTAAGTATAGAAAGGTCCGCGATGACAAGAAACAAAAGGACGGAAGGGAGGGGGGTACAGATGGAACGTCTGCGGGAGATGGCCGAGAGAGATGAGGATCTCGGAGACTACGAGGTCGGAAAATACGATCACAACGTCGACCGAGGCCCTGTGAGGCAGGCGAAAAAATGGATTCTCTCAAGGTCGGGCTCGGGTTCGAAGATCGACGACTCACGTTGATGCCATGGCGAAGGCGGTGAGGGTACCCTGGGCCAGGCCGGCGTAGAATTTAAAGGGGTTCTTTCTAACGAAGGCCGCATATATCAGCTGCATGATCACCAGCTGATAGAAAAAGACACCGATCGCGATCGTAACGATGAACCACGCCAGCTGCGACATCACCAGTACCAGATCGTCCACGCCGAGTATTTTACCCGCGATTACGGAGGTGATGCCGATTGGTGTCATCCTGGAAGCGAGATATTTTTTTTCATTCTGGCACACGAAGCGACAGTGAAGTGACGAAGCGTTGTTTCCAAAATTTTACGGGACACTCACCACATGACGGTCGAGACCATTCGCATGATGACCTCGAACACAGCCTTGAAGAAGTCTATGACGACTTGCCCCTTCTCACCCAGTGTACCCAGGAACGTACCAAAGACTAGGCAGAAAAAAACTATACCCAGAGTGTTCGTGCCGCTTCTGTACTGCACCACTCTCATCACTTCTTCGTCCCCCAGCACTGGCGTCGGCAATGGATCGGTGACATTTTGAAAGGGTTGCTTCTTCGGGACGTACACCGTATGCGCCTGTAACAACGTTATCTTAATATCGAGTCCACTTCACTTCGATAGACCGTAGGAATTGGGAAATATCCTTACTTGTTGGAAAGCTGCTTGAAACAAATTGTCTGGGAACATGTTCCTGCGGAAAACATTAATTTAAAATCATATTTTTTTTTTTAAAGATTACTGAATGCATTAAATAAGTCTCGATAGAATCTTCTCGTGATACATGAGATAGGGTTGTATATTTTAAAAATAACGCCTTTCCCGCGGCCTTCGTTTTATTCATAGCCCTTTTACACATTGATTAAGTCGCGGCGCAAGCTATGGCGACTTTTCAATAAAAACGGTCTTACGTTGCGTCACTGAAGCGAACAATTGTTAAATGGTTTCCGATAAAACCGAGCCGCGATATCTCGATTTTAATACAACATCGGAGGATCGTGCCTGGGCAATCGCGCGATTTTTAAACGCGAGTTTTTGAGCGCGCCTCGCGTGAATAAAATACGCACGATCGATGAACTATTTTCGTCCGGACGAGTAGTATCTGCGATCACGATGAATTTCGTTTAGCGGAGTTTGTGAAATGCCACGACCTTAATCCGACTTAGATAACTGTGTTTCCCGCAATGATTCAGCGACGCGGCGGTAAAGGGGAATATCACGCGGATCGATATTATTTCAATGTCGCGTTATCATCATGCACACATTTCTGAAAGTTTTCGCAGTGGAGAACCGCAGCGGAAGCGCTCGACCTAATTTTGTTGGCGATTCGCGGAAATATAGTCGACAATTATCAGCCGTGCGAGAAACGCCTGAAATGCAATTCAAAAGCAAACGCACAGATCGAAACTGATTAACATTATTTTTCCATCGTTTTATATACATTGACCTTCACACTCGATTACCTTCACATTTTCAATAGGAAAACTTGCAAGTGTGTCTATGTACATTATTGATATTGACAGAATCGATATCGGGCGATGAGAGATATCGCGGACATAATTTACCTTCCCAGGTCGAGCAGACTGTCTAATATGTTAACGGCTCTCGCGTGAGTCGAGGGCCCGATCGATTCCCTGATGCCGGGATTACCGGGATGAATAACGAGGACCAGGGCTACGCCAAGCACAGCATTGAGCAGGGACGTCAGTATGAAGTACACCAAAGTCCGAACGGCAATCATGCCGTTCATCCTGGCGTTTAAGCTCGCTGAACCTGGTCATATAAAAAAAAAAAAATGATTAAGATTCGACGTGCGCGGTTTACCGCGTGCCCTGGGACAACCTGCGAGAAAGGCTCACCTGATATGAGGCTGGCGATTACCAGTGGTAAAATCATTAGCTTCAGCAGTCTCATGAAGAGCTCTCCCGGATAACTGATCAGCATCACCGCGTCGTCCCCGAGGTCCAGAGGACGCAAGCCAAACCCTGCGACGAGATATTATCAGACTGATCCGCGATTCTGCGTCACGACAACTTTACTTTCTCATTCGCTCGTGTAAAACTCCTAAGAACTTCTTACGGGACGCTTGTCCTTGAACTATATTTAAATTTATTACGGTCAATTGGCTTATTATTCGATATCGCGAAGAAAGAGGTCGTCGCGAAAAGGTGAAGGTTTGAATAATTTCATTTCTACCGGATGATTATAAAGATTAGTCGCATAAGCTATCTCTCTACGCCCTCGTAAAGGCTGCAACGCGTAAAGCATATACATACGTTCTTTGCAAATGAATCATTCATTGCGACGGAATAATGGATGGATAATGGATTGCTGCTTCAATATTTGTAAAAAGAGAAGAAAATAAAACGGTAGAAATTGACGACGTTAGAGACTGACGTGTAACCTTGAATCTCTCATCTACGAAGGAAGGATATGAATGAAAGCTTTGATTTAGACTGATCTATCGAGCGGCATCATATAAATTATTACCATGCCATCAACGTTTCTACTTATAGCCAAAGTATCTACGGACGTTGTACGTTCGCTCATAGCGTAGCGAATCAATGGGAAATGGAATTTTGTGTAGATATTAACACTCTTGAACATTGATTGTTCTATTAATACTGTTGCTAATCGTGAAATTTATTCCTGTGTCTTTACGTCAAATTTGCAGATTTGTTGAATTATTCAACAATTTGACAAAACGCTTTTCGTGTTACATTTCAGTTATGCAATTAAATGAAATTATTCCATTTTCTCTGCCGTTATATACACAGCGTGAACTAATAAAATCGATTCTCACTTAATTAAATACGATTCAACATATATAACATTCGCGGGTAAAATCAAATGATATATTCACGGCTAAATATTTACACATAATCGATTTAGACGTACCGTGTTATAATCATGAAAATATAGGCTCTATCATGTTGGCTCCAAGAGCGATCAATTCAATGTGAAATTTTTTTAAGGAAACCCTACGTTTTCTCGTTAAGCACCTTTTAACGAGATGAAAGGTGCTGCTTATTTTTACGTAATCGGAATAATAATTTCGAACTGGGTCGTTCGAGGTATACGTGTAAAATCGATCCATGTGAAAGCTCTCACTATTGTAAGCATAAAACGTATTATGCTACTGCTCACGTATGATTTCTATGAACGTTTGACACGTTGCAGACATTCTTTATTATCATGTGCGTTGTTTTTATTACGGAAAAAAATCTTGCGTACGTTTGTCAAGAGGATTAATTTATTCAATTAATATTTACACGAATCGTTATGCAAGACCTTGTACGAGCGCAAAAAGTGATATTAAAAAAGAGTAATCGTTGATGTAACAGAAGAAAAATTGCCGACTGAAGAATTGCTATTGTGCTGAACTAGATTAAAATCTAAATAATATGAAGTTAGTTGCTTATAGAACTGCAAAAGAGATTACGCGTATGATAACTATCGCAAATGGCGGTCATAATTCACAGCTGACACGTAAAGAAATGAAAAATTGAAACGCGACTGACGATTCGTGCGGTACGAACGTTTCGTATATAGCACAAGATATTATCTTCCATTTAATTTCTGCTTGAATCATTGTGTCTTTCAACATCACGCAAACAATAATCAACTGTACGACATAATTAAAAATAATTTATTCCGAAGTTCTCTCTTTTATTTTTAATGCAGCAAAGTCACGCTTCTTCAAAAAGAATATTCTAAGATTCGAAGATTTTTTGCGATTTCTCCAAATTGAACTTATCGTGTTATTTATCGTAAAATTTCATGATAAGAAGGAATAAGTAAACATTTTCGTCGCTCACCGAGAATTATGCCGAAGAGCACGCCGGACAGGGTGACCAAGAGCAGCAGGTTCTCTCGCATCCATTTCCTGGTGTCTTCGGCGGTCACCTTGCGGGGACCCTGAGAGGCCGAGACGTCCTGCCCGCCCATCTTGGCGAACAGATATTCGGAGAATCGGGCAGAGGACTTTTCTTCCATCTCACTGGGCCGCCAGCAAGCGGCGCACCAGGGGCCGGTGCTGGTCGCGTACGAACAGGTCGATCCTCCCGCCGATCTCCCCAAACTCCCTTCTCGCGATCTCTCGCGGCTAACGGCGGGGCCCCTGCAGCACCACGACGACGACGGGTTGCCGTTTTGGGGGTGTTTCGGTAAATCCGTGCGGAAGGACCAATCACTCGCGCCTACCAGACGTCGTAGTAGCCTGGCGGCCTGGCGAATGCCTACTAATTCGATCGTGGTACCGGGATGGGATCGGACTGTCTTCCTTAGGACGCTGATAATAACAATCGGTGACTCCGATGGGGCTCGCGAGACCGTCTAATCTCCACCCGGACTCGTCTTGTGTGACTTCTCTGTATATGCGTAGTACCCTCTAGGACGAGTGTGCGAGATTACCGAAACGACCCTTGCGCTCCAATATATGCGTATCCTTCTCTCTCTTTCTCTCTCTCTCTTTCTCTCTCTAATCGTAAACAAGAAGGAACTTCAATCTGCAAGATACTTGCCACGAAATTGCTCAAATAGCTCCTTTTCTCGAGAAATGTTCGTACTGTTGCACAAAGTCAGTTACCCAAGAGAGCTGTTGGCAGCCGTTTCTTCAAGTAATGACGATACCATCCGTCTTCTTCCAACTAGCGCACTTCACCTGGGTGAAGCTAAATCGAAGCTCGGGAGAGAAACAAGAGGAATCGATGCGCTCGTACAGCGACGATAGCGAAGTCGAAGACGACGAAGATTCAATGGACTGTTCTGATCAGTATTGCCGATGTAACTGAGCGTGCGCGTGGACTTACGACACGTTGCTCGCAAAGGATGAGCCCCGACTGCCTGGTTACCGGCGGACGTTGCCGTATTGATTTGCCAGGATTTCGCCGTACCCCCAAGCGTTCCCCGTTCTCCCGCCCGGCGACGACAGCGTAACGCCTGCGCGAGCTCCGGTGGTTAAGTCGGTCGCTAAAACGTGGACACGCACTACCCCCTGATGCTGTTGCTGCGCGATGGGTGCATCGCGGAGAGACGAGAGAGACGCGCGCGAGACGTAGGGTAGGGGGGAAGATCGAGTGATGACAAGGGGGTTGGGGATATGAGCCTTGACACGCGAGAGTAGCGAGGACGAGGGGAGAGAGCGAGGAGGATGCGGCCGAAGGGCAGCGAAAACTTCGTCGGAGTTGCGAAATGTATCATCTGTTTCTTAGACAACTACAAGACGCTGCTCTTACGTATCAACGACGTAATTCGTTTCTGCGTCGCCGCGAACCCTCGACTACCCCTCGGGCGAGGGCGAACGTCGCAAAATCGAAACTCGCTAAATGATACTGCGCAATTCCAAATCTAGAAATATCAATCGTTCGACCTTAAAAACGGTAATCCTTTTTTATGGAGACTGCTAAATGCATTTTTGCACAAGGATGTTATACGTACGTCAGCGGTAGCTGTGGGATGATGCTCATCACGAATGCATATGTAGCTCATCAATATGCTTATTTTAAGAACGGGTTAATCCAGTTTATTTTAAACGCTCACCGTCGACACGAATCGAATAAAAGCAATTGCACATCCTGCAGCCGCAGGATGGAACAGACGAAAATAAATATTACCGTTTACTTATATTTTTATCTATTTTTTCGTTTATCTTTAGTTTCTCCAAAATGTATAATTCCAACAGTTTCACAGCTTATTATGAGATAAAAACTATTTTCAAGGAAATAAAAGGAAAGATGGAAAAATAGTTTTATATAAAAAAATGTATATCTTATAATTTGAGTAATATAAAAAAATATATCTATAATTAAAAAGAAAATATGTATCATGCCTTTGCTTTAACGGAGAATGGCGAGTTGGATAACTGTCTGATCGAACGTGGGTAACTACTACCTTCGTCTGATCGCGACGATAGTTACTACTGGTGGAGTCTTGCAAAGAGCGGAAACAATTTCTGGGTACAATGAAAGATGGAAGCACGGCATCTGAACGATAATCTATTCATTTCATGGTGATCAGAAAATTTATAATTTTTGATTTACTGACTGTATAATTAATTAAAGGAATGACAAGAGATAAAATTACTTTACATTAAATAACATATTGCGCTAATAAAATTGACAAATGAAGAAAGCAGAACGAGATTGACTCGCTAAATCTGGGAAACTCAATACAGCGGAAATATCAATTTTATTTTACCTCCAATAGCGTATCACTTTTGTAGAATAATCACGTTATGTCGCTGTCGGCTGCACTCACTTCGTGGAAAATTTGAAAAGCGGCAACGAGGTCCCAATTGACCGGCCGTTCAAGCGTATAATAAAAGGTGTGTAACACCGTGCAGAATACATTAACGATATTATTGACGAAGTACAACCAGTTATTCATTAGCTTATTGAAGCGAATAAAAATTATGTAATTATCCTCATCACTCTATTGCGGCAGTCCGAATGGACAATTTTGCAAACAATGATATTTATTAAGCACGAATCGTTGTTAAGTTACGAACTGCTTGACGCAATCAGAACAGATATATTCTAACATACATTAATAATTAAATTTTATCGATTTAACAAAACGTACTTAACAAAGCAATCTTGGGCGCTCGCGTTAATGTCCTCTAATACCTTCTACTTTTTTTTTCACCAACGGCGAGACCAGCGATAAAAAAAGTGATCTCTCAGAGACGATTACGCTTCGTTCGAACATAAGTCAAAATTCCTACGTCACATCCTGCTGACAAATACTCTTCGAAACGTGTGAATTAAGTAACACCCATCAACAAAGAGCTCCGGTATTTTGTGAAACAGGCCATCCTGTTGAATAATAGACGATTAGGTTCCTCGCAATCCGAGTCTGCAAAATGTTACGAGAGTCAGGTCTCATCCGCCACGTAAATAATCCAGGAGCACGTGGACACGACACGGGACACCAAGCGTGTAACAGGCAAACGTCTATACTTACCGATATATATAGCAGAATGTGTTTCGCATCGCTCTTCCGTAAATCCTAAAACTCGCTGACCAAGACGCCGTATGCGCACTCTGATATCGAAAGGGGATTGAGATTCACCCACACGAAGGAAAAACATTCCTTATCCGCGCGTATCTCACGCTTAATCCGCAAATCTGGTCGTCTAACGTGATAACAAATAGGCTTCGGTTCCGCAATACGGCAGAGTGATCCGTACGTATTAAACACGTGTTGCCGAAGAAAGCCAGGAAGGAAATTAATTCGAGAATCTCTGCAGAATTCTATTTGAATGTAATTTCATACAAATGTATTCATATTTTTTTATAAAATTGAAATAAGAATGTGTCGAGTCTTCAAAAGGTAGCATTTTGCGGACTATGTAGATGAAATTTTTTTCCTGACGCTTCTCCCTCTCCACTTCTCTCGCCCTTTTCCTTTCTCTTTCTCTCATAAAAAGAGAAATATCGTTTATATCCGCCCGGCTGCATGGCTGGTGTCTCATGTTTCATGCGGAGCAAGAACCTCATTACCAGGAAGATACCAAACGAACGCCGAAGAGATTCGATTAGATATCGGTTCAAGGATTCGGAGAGAGCTCTATGGAACGGTCAAAAGAGAGGAACAAAGATAGAGGAGAGAATTCCAATGATCAGATTGCCGGCACGTAGGAAAATACAAATCTGGGCTCTTTAAAATCGGCTTGAGGTTTACTCGCGTGTGCGTATTTGTTGATTAAACGCTCTTAAATCTTATAAAAGCCACTATCCCATCAAACATAAAATAGTACTCGAGCGAAGGAAATGGCAATCTTATAAAATATTTGATGCGTTTCGATCCCCTGCGGCACACAATGCCGATAACATCGTATTATTCTCTTTTGATCAGATGACAAAATTTTGGAGTCCGTAGAGAGAAGAGAGAGAGAGAGAGAGAGAGAGAGAGAGAGAGAAGAAAGGAAAAGGAGAGAGATTTATATTTCGTAATTATGTCATAAAAACTGAAAATATTACGGATGTAATGCATGTATAATGCATGTACAAGTGGATAAGATAAATAATTCTCTTTCCTTTTACAAAAGCACGTGCGCTTTTTCTAGATTATTCGGATGAAATATATAACGGGAATCCAATCGTAGCAACACGACAGTTAATTTATTGACGCGATTGAGTATTTAGTGTGCGTGTCGTACACGGAGTGACCATTAGCACACCGATCGGGCCGGCAATAATTAACGTTCACGTGCAAACGCGGAAGGTGATCGAGCGCTATGTAAATACACAGATTTGAGTTTACTTCCGCGTAAACTCGCGCGCGAAATCAGAACCTGTTGACGCTAATAATGGCGCAATTCCGAGGACGTTCCCGATGCTCGAGCGATTATAATTTGTTCCGACGGGCTCGTTATATGCCGTATTTCTACGGTGTAAACAGGGGTCCCATATATTCGCCGACGAGGGTCTGCAGTATATAACAAGAGTATGCTCGAGGTATCCGTCGACGATTTAGGCGGAGTGCGTCGAAACGTCGAAACAGTGTAAACAAGCGAGTATTGGGCACTTAATATTCGAGTTAATACTAGACATCTCTCTGACCGTAAAGAATCATCTTGATCGTTGAAGGGTGCGAAAACGACGTGCGAGATGTCGCGTACACGTATATATAATGACTACTTTATTGAACTTCTTTACGTTGTAATGGAAACGCGTTTCTCGCGCGATAAGAATCTACATACGAGATATTAAATTAACGCACTTAAGAGCGCTAGATTAGATATCTCTCCCTAAAATGGAGACGTATTTAATTGGCGGTTTTGTGTGTCTATACAGTTTATATTCTACAGCTGCAAACAACTATGTAAATTGCAAATACACGAACGTCCGAGGCGACACGACTGAGGCGACAAAACTTGCTGAGTGGACTTAACGATTGTATCGCTGTCGCTGTCGGTGTGGCCGGCGACCGAGGTCGCTCCGAGCTTTGGATAGTATCTCGGCGAAGCCAAGAGCTATTATACCGGCACGTAAAACCACGTCAG